ATAGTAAGAAAAGAGGACAGAGAAGGGAACCCAGAGGCACACCAGTGTACTTACTGCATAGCAGAGGAAAGGGGGTCTCATATGAGAAGGGATGATGAGAAGAGGGCAGAAAGCCGAGAATTATGAGGCTTTCAAAGGAACCAGAAGACAAGCCTGAAATGGCCACTGAATTTGTCAAAAAGGGGACATTTGATGTGGGGAGCAGCCATATTAATAGAGTATTAAGAGTAGAAGCCATTTAGCAGTGGGTTCAGCAGGAAATGGGAGTTAAAGAAGTAGGGACAATAGTCATGAACATGTCTTCCAGAAATTTGGCTGTGGATAGGCAATAATAAGCTGAAGCGGGATGTAAAAGAAAGGACATGAGGTTGCAGTGAGAATTTTGTGTGTGTGGCCTGGGGGACAAGGGAGATGAGGGAAATTTGAGCATGTTGAAATACTAATTGGGAAGGAGCCAGAAAGGAGGAAGGGGGAAAAAGAATATATGATTGAGCAAAATCCCTCTGAAGACCCAGAGGGATGAGATCAAGGACACAGTGGAGAGTTTTAGCCCTAGATGGTAGGAGCACATCTCTAACATTTTGTCAGGAGCAAAGTGATTATTACTGTTAAGGTAAAAAGTTGAGGGAGTGCCTGCCTAATGTCTTCTATTTTTTTCTGTGGTATTCTTGCATTGTCATCTACTGAGAGTAAAGAAGGAAGCAGTAGGTTAGGAGACTTGAGGAAAGTGGAGAAATGCTGAGGTATCAGCTATGGAACAAGATGGAGAACTCACCAGGTAAACCATGGGTCACAGGCAGCTTTGGGGGCCCACTTGAGCTTAGAGACTGATTTTGTAGTGGCAGCAGTTAGAGTGATTGAGTGATTTCCTACAGCAACACTCAGCATTCTGTTGTAGGAATGGAAATGGGAGACAGTTGATTGAGGATTAGGGTTTTGCTCTGTGAGATGAAAGGATGACAAGGTGAAGAGGTTAAGAACTCCACAAAAGTGATTGGAGTGATGGTCCAGGGAGTCTAGAATGCCTAGGGATTGAAGTGGAAATGGGCTTGATAACAGGGAGAATGCAGAAGGGGCAAGGGACTGAAGATCAGTGGGGGCTATCTGAATTTGAGATTACAAAAGTGGAGAGGTTGGGGAGAAGACAGGTGCACAGTATGGTGGTAGGGCTGTTGGGGTCAAAGGTTATTTCAGTTGAGGTGGTCAAAGAGCCAAGAAGCCAGGTGTTATATGGGTGATTTTCATGGGCAAGGAAGTCTCCTAGAATGAAGACAAACTAAGACTGAAGAGAGAAAGGAAGACTAAGCCAGGTGCCAAAATATCAAAGAATGGTGGAGCCTGGGAAATTACCTGAATTGGGAGGGAAATAGGGTGATATTACCACATACCTGCAAAGGGACAAGGGTATTTACATGAAAGTAAACGAATAATAGTTTGGAAATGGCTTTGAGGAAAAGAGGACATTGATACCAGGGTACATGGAATATGAAGGAATGAGCAATATATGGATGAGATAGCAACAGGGAGAGTATTTTTCAAGAAAAGTCAGATTTCATTTAAGCCAAGGAGGGAGGAAGGACTCAGTGCTGGATTGAGAAAGAGGGAAATTTTGATTATGGGGAATGGGGTTCCAGATAGCTATGACTGGGGGGAAAATCTCAGTTGGCTCTGTGTCTGAGTAATTGTGAGCTCTAGATTTATATCCAGGATGAAATAGGGGCTCCATTCCTACTAGAGTGCATGAGTACTAGTACTTCAGTCATAATATGTTGTCTAGCTGCAATGTCCCAGGCACTATGTTTGGGGTACAAAGGTAAATACGGAGTGCCCAGTCTCGGCCCTCAGCTCAGAATCTAGTGAAACAGATGGACACATAAACTTAGGTCCATGGCAATGATTAAATGCAATGACTTGAAATTTCTACACAAGGGCACCCAGCCTAGCCCAGGAATGGGGGTGGGGGTTCAGAGAAAGTTTTCTGGATATGATTGAACATGAATTAAGTCAGGTAAAAGAAACAGGAAAATGGCAATGGGCATGCAGGCAAAGGCACAGAATAGCTCATAAAACAAGATCTAAATACGGCAAATGATAAGTAGCTCTTGTTGCTGGGATCTTCATGAGGAAAGCAGTGGTGCAAACATGGCAAGAGTCCTATCTTGGAAGGTTTGTAGGCCTTCTGTTGGACAACCATTGAAGAGTTTCAGGGAAGAGAGTGAAACAGATAAGCACGTAGGTAAATTCCAGCAGGTCAGAGATGGATTGAAGGGGTCCACTTGCTCGAGGCTGGCTTCTCTGTTAGCAAGGAAAGTGGGGCAAGTCCTAACAAGGTGAAATAATAACTTCCCATATCTTCCGGAAGGAGAACCCAGGGCAAATTCCTCACCAAATTCTCAGCTTTGGGCTGCATTCAGCCACCTATCTTTCCTCCTCCCTCAGAGCCCAAGCACCTCCACGACTCCAACTGTTGGCTCTTCAGAGCCTGTTTGTACTCTCTGCCCTAGTGTGGTCACTTACCAGCTATTTGAATTTGAATCAGTTACCCTGATCTTCAGTTTTTGAATTTGTAAACAATATCTTTTATTCCATTCAGCATTAGAAATCTGAATAATGAATTCACATTTTGGTGTGAATGTCCAAGAGCCTCCTCTCTCGTTGTTTTTCTTTTGTATATTTTGGAGGCAGTGCTTAATAAGGTTTTTTTTGGTGAGGAAGATTGTCCCTGAGCTAACATCTGTTGCCAATCTTCCTCTTTTTGCTTGAGGAAGATTGTTGCTGTGCTAACATCTGTGCCAATCTTCCTCTATGTTGTATGTGGGGTACCACCACAGTGTGGCCTGAATGAGCAGTGTGTAGGTCCACGCCTGGGATCCAAACTGGCGAACCCAGGTCGTCAAATTGGAGCATGCAAACCTAACCACTATGCCACTGGGCTGGCCCTGCTTACTAAGTTTTTTTAAACCACATTCCTTTTTTTAAATATTAGTAATATATGTCCACTGTGAAAAATTTGAAAAAATAGAGAAGCAAATACAAGAAAATAAAAACCACTCATAATCACATCGCTCAGAGATAATTACTGCTAACATTTTGTTGTGTAGACTTTTGAATTCATTGTGTGTATACATACTTTTTGAAATAGAAATTCTGCCAATTTTATGAAAACATATTACATCATCTACATCAAAGAAAACTGGTCTGGCAGAATCAATATTCAAGCACAACTTCACATTTCCTATCAAATGTTATAATTGTTACTGAATTTTATACTGATGACTAGGTTTCATACAGTAATTTGGCTACCTTTGAACCAAAAAACGGCCTTTTGCATGCTTCCTCGTGGAATATTGGCCTCGTGCCTATGTGCAGTTATGTTAAAAAGGAACTTATATAATTTATAAGCCTTGACAACAGTTTTCCATTTAGTAATGTTCTGGGCTTACTCTCTTGTTGAACATCTGTTGGCAATAAAAATGTCCCTGTACTGTTTACAGCAGTATCATGTTCAACAATATCATGTAGTTTTGTGGTTTATTAACCAGAATTCAGGTTCCTAATACCAGGATGATTTAATTGCTTTCCTACCTGGGCACATACCTAAAATTTATTTCAAGGGGTCCCTTCTTTTCCCCACCCCCCACATTGCCATTTTAACAATCAATCAACTTTTAGTGACAGGCTACTACGTGCCAGGCACTGTCTGAAGTCTTAAGGGTAGAATGATAGATAAATCAAGGCTCCTGGAGCAAGGATGTCACAGAGTTAAAGTGTTGTTGTACATTTACATGAATTTATCTGTTAAACTGAGACTGTGAAACATCAAATAATAGTTTATGTGAAACGTGAAATTTTTCCTTTAAATGGTCAGATTAAAAAATGTGCAGTAAAAACTAATCTTATGAAACAGAGAAAGCCAGCTTCTGGCATTTTCCTTTGTCATAAAATGACTACATTTTGAATTGTCTTTCTAAACACCTGTGAGTTTTAAAAGCTCTCGTTTATTGTGCTCTAGGTGACCAGGCACTGCTAAGCCCGTTTCATTCATTATCTTAATTTTATCAACTGATGAAGGTTTTCTTATCCCCATTTCATGCATGAGAAACTCAGGTTCAGATTAAGGTAACGCGACCAAAATCACAAAGCAAATGGTGCAGGTTTTCAAAGCCAGGCCTGATTTCAACCTATTTTTAAAAACGATTCTATGATAAACTGGCTCCCAATTCTTTAGATCACTAGTTCTTCAGAGGAAATTTAGCAACATTGTCATAGACCATTCAATGGACCACTTTCCTTCAACTGCTTGAATTAGTGTATTGTCCAAGTTATGCAAGACTAAGGGCCCCTCTATTTTCTAATAGAGGTCTATGTGGTCTGGGGCCCCCTTCTCCTGGTCTCAAGGAAGGTTTACGTGCCTCTCTGTGCTTTTAGAACAACTGACACTCCTCTATCTCCCACCAATCTATAAAGCTTCTTGAAGACTAAGGCTTGTGTATGATCTGTTACCGAATCCTAGCCCTGTTTCTCATACCTGACACGGTGAATGCTCAGGGGATGCTGAGTGCACGCGTGAAATGAATGACCAGGCTCAACTGAATTCTAGTTCTTATCCAGGCTTGTCAGTCTGGGCGTCTCCTTTCAGTATCGATGTTTCCACAAGACGATCAAGAATACACACCTCGCGCGTGTGTGCGTCAACGGATTTTGCAAACTCGAGCAATCTAATATAAAGCACTGAAGAGGGGCCACTCAAAAGCAACTACAAGTCTTCACTTTCAGGCCGGGGCTAGCGAGAATCTGGTCAGTGTTTGAACGAGAATACAAAGCCACCCTTTGTGGTTCCTTCCAGTTCTACCTTTCGGTAAGTGCCTCCTAGTCCCAGCGTCTTAAGCGGTCTATTCGCTAAGCGCAGCGAGCGTGAGCAGCCGGTGCTCCGGGCCTACACGTGGACCTCAGCCTCCTCCGAGGTTTCTGCTTCCGCAGGAAATGCTTTGCGACAGGAAGTGACGAAAGCTGGGTGGGCTGAAGGGGTAGGACTGTCTCTTCCTCTCCACGCGGTGGACGAGACAGTCGGCCGACACACCTTGTGCTGAGTGATGCCGGGGAAACTCCTTAGTGACGCGGATTTGGAGTCAGACGCAGCCATGGAGCAAGTGGAGATACCGCGAAAGCAAAGTGAGAAGGTGCGCTGAGAGGAGCGGGGCCGCGGGGCACTGGAGAGGAGGGGTGCCGGCGCTGGAGCGCGCGGCGCTGACCCGGCTCGTCCGGAGACCCGCGTAGGTCTCGGCCAGGGTCGCCCGGAGTGGTCTCTCCGGGCGCGGTGGGCGCGGTGGGCGCGCTGCCCGCCCCACGGAGCCCGCGCCGCCGCGCCCCGGCATCTCTGGCGGAGACGCCGGGGCGGATCGGAACTGGGCAGAGGCCGGGTGTCCCACGTGGTCCCGGAGTCGGGGCGCCGGGTACCCGGGACGCAGTGTTGGACGTTCACGGATAGGCCCTACGTTGTTGGCTCAGGCTCAGACCTAACTCTGGGCGTGAGCGTGCGCGGAGGGCGATTGTAAGTCCGGTCAAGACGCTTTAGACGAGACTGGCAAGACCTTAAACCCATCTGCACACGTGGGCGGCGTCTGCGGTGACATGCTTTTTACCCTAGTAAGGAAGTAGAGTTTGTTTTCCGGTAAGCAGCCCTTAGAAGAGGAAATAATTCAGTTCCCCTTAAAGTTTATTTACCAGATTTCCCCTGGAAATATGAAGACGTGTTGTGGTGCTAACCGTACGCCACATTTTTGATAGAGGCCAATAGTGTGCGTAGTCTTAAGTGTCCTTGCTACCTGACTACCTCCTTCCTGCCGCTTCCTTAGACAGTGATTTAACTTGTGACTGAGTCTCTGTTCTGAGTGAGATAAGGTCCGTGGAAACAAAGATTGTCCCTGAACTTATGTTGTACATGAATTAGAATTTTTTTCCCTTGCTGTTTCTGGGTCTTTTTGATGGGGAGCTTTTACAACAACATTTTGGTGTTGTAGGAACACCAAAGAGATCGCAGATTTGTCCGCTCAGTTGGGGAGGAATTGGTCCTGGTTTACCTGCACCGCATCAGTGAGCCTGTTCACTTGTGCGATGCTCCAATTAGGAGAGACATGACCAAACTCCATCACATTCCAAAGAGTCCACCAGAATGGGAAATCCACTCTTGTTTGATGGAACCACGGGATGAAAGAACCGAAGTCTTGCAGGGGAGACCAGATTTTTTTCAGATGCCTGGAGGACCATCATGTGGGAGAGATTACCTTTCATACATGATTTGAGAGCAGAGAGCAGGCCTGAAGTTTCAGGGAGGTGGAGTTCAGCTAATGTAGTAGTAGTAGTAGTCTCCATACTTCTGGGATTGGCCTGGGGCTCCGCCAGAGATTTGAACAGAGACTGTAACACTTGTCTAATTGTTTTCAGTAATATTAAGTACTTAAGTTTTCAGTAATATGAAAAGTTGGGGAAGGTCAGACATTTTGGGTAGTCTGGTTTGGTTTTGAGGTTTTACCCATTCCATTTCCTTGTAACTTGTGCTTTTTTCCCCCTTCTTTAAATTAGGTACATCTTTTTTACACGGGGGTTGATAGATTGTGGGTTTTTATAGCTTTTTGGTTCGTAAGATGTCTCTGTAAATCCATTTGCACTTGTGAGATAGGCGAGACAGATATTATGAATCCTTGTTTTACTTGTTCAGGAATTCTGCAGAAAAAAGAAATCTGCTGAACATCCTCCATCTGTGACACATATGGCATGTCACTCTATCAGAATTACATTAAACTGTACTTGCTCACTCTTTAGGAGTACTTACTTTAGAGCCTGTCGGAGCATCCCACCAGCAACCCCAAATCCATTATGAAAATTTGATTTCACCACTTGTTCAACCAACATGAATAGTTACCAAGAGGTATTCTCTTTCAAGCTAATGAAATTATTGATATACACTTATCTCCATATAGCCAAAAAATGGTATTAAGAAACATACCGTTTCATTTTTGCCTTATTGCCGGGTGAAAGTACGAATGTTGAAAAATGGCCCCAAATTGTGTTCTACATATAACTGTGATCTTGAAATAATCCAGAATTGATGTGCCATACAAATGTATAGATGCCTTTGTTCACTGTTTGTATTTTCTTGATTAACTTTTTAGAAAGGTAGAAAAGAGAAGCCAAAATCTACTAAGACTCAAGAGGCAGCAGAAGAAAAGGAAGAAACTATTTCCCCCAAAGCTAAAAAAGTTAAAAAGAAAGCAGGGCCTTCTGAGGTTGACATGAATTCTCCTAAATCCAAAAAGGCAAAAAAGAAAGATGAGCCATCTGAGGACGACATTCTCTCTCCTAAAACCAAAAGTGTGAAAAAAACAAAGGAGCCCTTTGAAAAGCAAGTTGTTTCTCCTAAAACCAAAAAAGTAATAAAAGATAAGGATCCTTCTGAAGAAGAAACAGGTGCTCCTAAGCCCAAGAAAATGAAGAAAGAAAAGGAAATGAATGGAGAAATTGGAGAGAAAAGCCCCAAACTGAAGAATGGACTCCCTCATTCCGGACCTGACTCTGACTCCAGTGAAGCTGCCAGTGAAGAAAGTAACAGTGAGTTAGAGCAGGTGAAGTTGCATTTTTATATGTGGAGTGTATCTTTCATTGTTGTTTGAGAAAAATGAATGGCTAATCGCTGCACATATCATTTGGTAACGGGAGGCAATTGGATGTCCACATTTCACGGGGGTCCCTTGAGCTGCAAGGTGAAACTTCATCTTAAAAATTGCATAGTGTCAGAATGCCTCCGTTGCAAATAAGCAGATCTTTCCAAGTTTAGGGAAACTCCTCCCCACACTTGGTCTGCTCATTTGCAAGTCAGAAATCAACAGGAGGGATATAGTAATGCAAATAGCCCCCCTCCCCTGGAGGGGGTTTCACCAAGGTGCATTGTTAGTGAAAAGGTGTTGGCTTGATTGCGTGAGTCTTCTTCTTCAAGCCCCTTAACTAACTTGAGTTGAACTGGATGAGTAAATGTCCACTTGGAAACTAATTCTCTTACCTTTCAGAAAATCAGTCATCAAAGAAAAATCCTGATTCTAATAAAAATAATTTTCTGTTTGCCATAGGCCATGATCAACATTTAAAAAATTTTTACTGATTATAAAAAATACGTGATCTAGAGAATTTAGAAAATATAGGAATTTACCAAAAAGAGAAAAGCTCCCTAGAATTTCAGCATTCCTTAATTCAGTAAATACTAAACATTTTTCAGGTACAGAGGTAACCTGTTGCTGAATTTGATATTTCCTTACAGTACTTTTAATGTATACATGTCTACAACTATTATTTTTTGTCAGATTAGGGTTCTACTATATGCAATCTTGTATCTTACCTTTTCTATTTTTATATAAGCATTTTCCCCACTTTTAAATATTAAATACTTTTAACGGTTACATAATCCATCATATAAATGTCTAGAAATTCAATTAATTATCCTTCTATCAAATAATGCCATGGTGACCAGTTTGTCGTAAATGTTTGTTCTTTATTTTCTGTGGAATTATGAGAGATGTTGCTGTGGAAAGGCTAATGACCCATTAAACAGTATCTTGCTGGTTTGGAATGGCTGTGGAATAGTTCTTAGTTGAGACTGAATCTGCCTTCACTAGCCACACATAGTATATGTGCAGTATATATTTGCTACAGATTTTTCTTTTGTTAGAGTTTTATAGATTATTAATGATATATTTCCTTTTCAGATGTCAATTTACCTACCAAAGTTTTTGTGTCTTTTTGGTTGATTTAGAAGAGATATAATAGGTTCTTTTGTTTCTTTCTCAGAAGGCTTCTCTGTATTAACCACTAGGGATAAAGTTATTAATTTCTCTCTGTGGCCCTTTACTTGATAGGAAATACCTGTGGAACAGAAAGAAGGAGCTTTCTCTAATTTTCCCATATCTGAAGAGACTATTAAACTTCTCAAAGGTAATATTCTTGGAAATATTGTATAATGTTAGAACATATTATTGGAAGTGCTGCACTCTTTGAGAGGAACTAGGACATATTCTTATTGGAGGCCAATATATGCGACCTTACACTGAAGTGTGTCTGTATATTCGGTATAGAACTATCCCACTGATGGCCTTTGCTGCTTCTTAAGCGGGTGATTAAAATTTATTCAATACTATATACATTCAGAAGTAACAACTGATAGTGCTGGTGCAATTAAACAGCGGATGCCTTGTTTGTATTTTCTTTTTTATCTTCTACTTCTTGAGGCATCTCTAGGTTAATGATACCGCCTTGACTCAGAACTCGTCTGAGCAGTGTTCCTGTGAATGAGCTAGGTAGTCACAGATGCTGAACTAAGTGTTTTCTGAATCAGGTGCAGCACAATCTGGACTGCAAAGCACCTGATTTTCAGGCTTATACTGACCTGGGGGCGGGGTTTCATGACAAGTAACCTAATCTCTTAAAATAATAAATATTTACTATAATTCAGTGCTTTAAAGTTTGTTGATATTTTTTAATCCAGCAGATTCTTCATTACCAGAATGTATTTGAACCTGACTTTGTAAATGTTGACAAGAGGGTAGAATTCCTTAATTCTGCAGGACCAGGAACATGGATATGCTGCAGTCCTCCAGGAGGGCTGGGATTTTGAGAACTGCGGTGTCAGATAACACGGTTAATGTGTTCACAGCCCGTGGGGTGACCTTCCTGTTTCCTATACAAGCGAAGACATTCCACCATGTCTATAGTGGGAAGGACTTAATTGCACAGGCACGGACAGGAACTGGGAAGACATTCTCCTTTGCCATCCCTTTGATTGAGAAACTTCAGAGAGAACTACAGGACCGGAAGAGAGGCCGTGCCCCTCAGGTAACTAACAGAGACCCCAGGGCTCCAAATCCGCCCAGGAAAGAACATTGCTTAGGCAATGATGACATACTCTCTTGTTTTTTATTGAGTTCTCCTTAAAGCCTTTTTTTGGTATTTGCTGTAGATTTGAAGGTAAACCAGAATAATTCCTTTAAGACCGTTGGCCACAAACCCTGTATATTTAAATATTGTAATCTGGCCCATGGTTGTGATCACCTATATTATTAATGTTCATCATCTTCCTTTCAAACTGTTAGATGTCCCTGGGGCTCACAGGTTTGATAAGTGTCTAACCATTTTTGCCTAAAATGGAGAAAGCACTTTTAGTAGAGATGCATGAATAGAAGGAGGGGCCCTCAGAGAGGTGCAGAGGCCAAGCCCCCTTACACGATGGTGCTCGTTGAGCTCATTTCTGGAGAACCTGGCATTTGACGAACCTTAACCCCACTGAAATGCCTATGTTGTCTCCTTGGCTGTGGGTGCTTGCCCCTTAATTTTTGGCCCCACCTCACTAGTTTACTGGCCTTCCTGTGTCCGTGCTCCCTCCTCATTAAATCATTTAACATTTAAGTCTTTTTTTTTTTTTTGAGGAAGATTAGCCCTGAGCTAACTGCTGTCAATCCTCTTTTTGCTGAGGAAGACGGGCCCTGAGCTAACATCCGTGCCCATCTTCCTCTACTTTATATGTGGGACGCCTACCACAGCATGGCATGCCAAGCGGTGTTATGTCCGCACCCAGGATCCGAACCGGTGAACCCCGGGCTGCCAAGAAGCAGAACACGTGAATTTAACTGCTGTGCCTCTGGGCCGGCCCCTCATTTAACATTTAAACAAATAGAGCAGTAAACAAATGAATTATTCTAGCACCTAGACTAGTGCCTGGCACATAGTGGATGTTCAGTAAATATCTGTTGGATGAATGTGTTAGGTTGTTCTTAAATCATGTTTGTTTCATGCTGTTACTTTACTTGAGGATCTGTAGTGGTTTCGTGCTGTATGTCCTGTTGGATCAAACTCAGACTACTCAAGAGTTCAAAGCCCCTCCCTATGTTGGTCCTGCCTTACTTGTCTGACTGCCATTCGACTTCAACTTCTCTGTAGCGTAGGGGTTCAGACTACAGCTTTTGGAGCCTGACTGCCTGAATTTAAATCCAGGCTCTGCCTCTTAGCCTTTTGGTTTTAGAAATCTGTTGTGTATTATTGTAGGCATTACAATACAATTGTAGGTATTGCAGGTGAATAACCTGTGAGAATTAAGTGAGAATAGTGCATGTTAAGCATTTTAGTAGAGCCTGAGACATTGTAAAAGCTCAAATGTTAGCTGCTGTTATCATCACAGTAGACTCCTTGCACAAGGTGTTCCTTTCCTGGAATGCTGTTCTTTAAGTACTAGCAGCTCCATGCAACCTTCCCCAAGTCCTCCAGCCTGTTCCATGCAACCCTCCTGAAACACCATACATTTGGGCATCTACGTCTCCTCTGATAGGTAAGATCACAAGCTTTTCTTCTGAGTAGATAGGAACCATATTATATTTATGATCCTTCCACACCACAGTACATTGCAAAGCATGTAATAGATGTTCTGAAAATAATTGTTAGGATGAGTTGAACCTTTGGTAAGTTCCAAATTTGTTAAGAAACAAATACTGCACATAACTTTGAATTTAATTGTTAGTTTTTCCTTTTCAGGTACTGGTTCTCGCACCCACAAGGGAGTTAGCAAATCAAGTAAGCAGAGACTTCAGTGACATCACAAAGAAGCTGGCAGTGGCTTGTTTTTATGGTGGGACTCCCTATGGAGGTCAAAGTAAGTAAGTCCAAAAGTTAGAGAAGGAAATGCCATCCATTGTTGGATGCTCTGATTGGCTTTCTTCTGACCTTGACATCTGGCTTTACCAACTAGAGTACAGTCTAGTCATTTACGGTCATTTTCTCCTGTCATTATTGTTAAAGATGGTCAAGAACATGGTCCTGCATGATGATGTGTCAAATCCTGTATACAGTTCTTAGGATTTTTGTATTATCTATGTTTGTCTAAAGGCTTCAGAAGTATCTTACTGAACCCAGGAAGACAGTCCAGTTGGGCCCTTGGAACTAAAAGTCAGAATTCAGGGTTACTCTTTTTATGTCAAGGGCCTTGGGTCTCTGCCTCTTTTTGCGTTAGGCAGGCTTTCTTTTCTCTGGGTCCAAGGCCAAGTTTTGCAGCCCCTACTGTAGTATTCCATTTCTTCCCAGTTCAGACCTTGAAGCTTTATTATATAGAGCAGATACGTAATTCAGGAAGGGACTTAAAGCATTAAAAAAGTCTTAGCATTGGCACACAAGGCTTGTGATTATTTCTTTCCAGCTTTGCTGAAACGAAGGTAGGCTTTGGCATCAGAAAGGCCTGGGTTTGAATCTAGACTCTGCTCATAGAATAGCTGTGTGATTTTCAATTCAAGTTGCTTGATTTTTCTGCTCATGTATAAAATAACATGAGGAGAAGACTCACCCTGCAAGGGTGTTGTCATTGGGTTGAATTGGATAGTGTATGTAAACGGCCTCGTGTGATCCCTAGGCTGCAGTAGCCCTGCAGTGAAAAGCTGCGTCATTACCGTCTCGTCTCGGCTATATTGAACTCCATCTTCCTGAATGTGTCTACACCTTCGTGGAATACTTACCCTTCGCTCCTGTCATTCTTTCTCTATCTGCTTACCTCATAGAAAGTTCCTGTTTCTGTAAGATTCTTATTTTTACTTTGTCTATGAAACCTTGACACTTTCCACCAGCCAGGGGAGTCATTTCTTTCCTGGTGCTACCATCCCCCACTGGTGTATTTTTCTGTTATGTCATGTGATACACTGGACTGTCCTTTCTTCCGAGTTTCCCACACTGGATTAAAGAGTTCTTTGAGTGTTTTTATCTTCAATACTTAGCATCTTACCTTGTACTTGTAGTTAATAAATATCTTAGAATAAAAATATCTTTAAGTGGTACCCAACACTAATAAAAGGACTTAAAAACCCAGCATGTCTTTCCTTGGTGTTCTTTACAGTTGAACGCATGCGGAATGGGATTGATATCCTGGTGGGGACGCCAGGTCGTATCAAAGACCACCTGCAGAATGGCAAGCTAGATCTCACCAAACTTAAGCATGTTGTCCTGGATGAAGTTGACCAGATGTTGGACATGGGGTTTGCTGATCAAGTGGAAGAGATTTTAAGTGTGGCATACAAGAAAGGTAAACTCCAAATTCAAGGAACTTGTCATCGAAGAGTTAAATGAAGCCTAAGGAATTTGGGGGGTGACTGACTTTATTCAGGAAAACTTAAATTAAAAAAAATTCGTGATTTACACATAAACTACAATGGAGAAGATTGGGGAAAGTAAAAGAACAAAAATTCCATATTCTGCCAGCTTGGTGTACTTTGCTTTGGTGTATTTTTTCCTGGCTTTGTGCTGTTGTGTGTATGTGTGTATGTTAATTTTAATCTACTGTACCTATAACAGTTTGGCATAATACTCCATGAAGTGGTTGTGCCATGATTTAATTCCATCTACAGATTTTAATTTTTAGGTAATATAAATAATTCTGCTCACATATTTTTATGCAGGCAGCTTCCTTCACACCTCAGTATTTGGAATTAGTTCTGTTCTGAAGAGGTGAAATGACAGTAGTACCCCCCTTGTCCATGGCTTTGCTTTCCACAATTTCAGTTACCTGCGGTCAACCGAGGTCTGAAAATATGAAATAGAAAATTCCAGAAATAACCAATTCATAAGTTTTAAATCTTATGAATGCGATGTTTTAAATGCGATGTTCTGAGGAGCATGATGGAATCTCGTGCTGTCCCACTGCGTCCCGCCTGGGAAGTGAATCGTCCCTTTGTCCAGCGTATTCATGCTGTATATGCAACCCTCCTGTTACTTAGTGGCAGCCTCAGTTATCAGATTGACTGTCATGGTATCGCAGAGCTTGTGTTCAAGTAACCCTTACTTTACTTAATAATGGTCCTAAAGCGCCAGAGTAGTGATGCTGGCAGTTTATTACAGTATACTGTTATAATTGTTCTATTTTATTATTAATTATTGTTATTCTCTTACTGTGCCTAATTTATGAGTTCAACTTTATCATAGGAATGCATAGGAGAAAACATAGTATATAGAGGGTTCAGTACTGCCCGTGGTGTCAGGCACCCACTGGGGTTCCCAGAACGTACCCCCCAGATAAAGGGGGAACTCCTGTCCTGAGATGAGAGGTATAAATAGTTTATACTCCTCAAAATACTTTGTCAGATTGCTCTCCAGAAGGGTTCTGTCAGTTAACACTGCCATTTGAAATATATGAAAATGAAATGGTATTCTAAGAGCAACTGGAAAAAAAATTGAGATTGAGGAGCTTTTTGATACCTGACTTCAAGAATGAGTAGACTGAAATTCTCAACTCAAAATATTGAGGAAATGCTAGAGGGAGTATAGATGAGTACAGAATCTGTTCTGGTGTTTATTATAGGTTATTTGCTTAAGTGCTATAAACTGGTTGGTTACTGGGCTTGACGAATTGGTGTTTTCCAGTTGATAGGTCTCATTATAATGGACAGATTGCCCTTCATAAAGGCCAGTGGTCAGAAAGCAACATAAGTTTAAAGTACTTTGGACATTTCAAGGATCCTTTACGTAAATTATTTAGGCAATATTTCTTTGTCCATTGGGAACCTTCGTGTCTTTCGTTTTTGTGTCCTCAATGTTTGGCTTCGCCTCAATTGGTTGCGGTAGAATGTTATGGACCCTGGAAGAAATGGGTGAGGTGTGGATACTATGTAGGCTTGTTTGGGTTATTCATACTGACTTTCTTTCCCCCAAAGATTCAGAAGACAATCCCCAAACATTGCTTTTTTCTGCAACTTGCCCTCATTGGGTATATAATGTTGCTAAGAAATACATGAAATCTACATATGAACAGGTGGACCTGATTGGTAAAAAGACTCAGAAAACGGCAATGACTGTGGAGGTAAATGATTCATTCGGTTGCTGGAATTAGTAATAAATTGTGTATCATTTTTTTCCTGTCTGATGGTATTAAGGCTGGCAAATACAAACTTTTTCCAAATAAATACTAAGTTTATGTGTAAAGCTAAGTAAAGATATATTTCTATTGAGTTGTATATGGTATTTGTGTTTTCTAAATTTCATCATCTGGTAGGCTGATTTCAGAATCTTTTGGAACCTAACTAACTGTCTGAATTATGTAAACTGAAAGAAATTACACCTAGAATTTAAACATCAGAGGGCAGCAGAGAAATCTAGTGTTTGTGTTGAAGCCATTTTTATCTTAGGTTGTTTACCTAGATGAACTCATTTCACCCAAGGAATAGGTCTGTACAGTAACTGACTGCTGATTGCATTTTTAAGTGGAAAGGACAAAACATCCAGAGACTTTCCTCTTGTCAGGTTACTTGGTTTCCTGTAGGAATCTGAGGAATGGCATTTCTTTCTATATTTACCTGGTGAAATCAGAAACTAAAGAAGGCAGATGCTCCCTGGAGGAAGGGGAAAGGCTCTCTGCTTTGATGGTTTACTTCTTCCTCTGGCGGTGGTGGCAACAGTCTGCTGCAGTCAGGCTCAGACAATGCTTCTGGTACCCTTAGTGCTGAGCAGGGGATTTCGATTTCCAGCTGGGCTTCACTAAATAGATCTTTTTTTTCCTCTCTCTCTTTCAAGCATCTGGCTATCAAGTGCCACTGGACTCAAAGGGCAGCAGTTATTGGGGACGTGATCCGAGTGTACAGTGGTTATCAAAGACGCACTATCATCTTCTGTGAAACCAAGAAAGAAGCCCAGGAGTTGTCACAGAGTGTGTCCATAAAGCTGGTTGGTCCTTCCCCTCCCTTTCTTTTAGGGAGAAAGCATCTTTCAGTTAATAGAGTGTAGGTGTTAGGCTCACCTAATCTGTCAGTCTCACAGATGAACAAAGGGTGGCTCAAACCCAAGGTTACACCGACAAAGTAGGTTTGATCGGTCTCATCCGCTGTTGTTTACCTTCTCAGTATAGTGGGTGCAGTTGATGTCATGACCAGGATTGGAAATAATTTGGAGGCTTGTCCATGTAAGGCACGTGTTTTCTCCCCTTTGCGTTATTTTCAGCGGAAGCCTCACCACAATATGAATGCCTTTGACAGACCTAACTGGTGCTCCCAAAAGTACCTGTCTTCTTGGGTCTGGTTTTCTTAGGCCAGTTTATTTCTTTGACAGGATGCCCAGTCATTGCACGGAGACATTCCACAGAAGCAAAGAGAAATCACCCTGAAAGGTTTTAGAAATGGTGATTTTGGAGTTTTGGTTGCAACCAATGTTGCTGCACGTGGGTTAGACATCCCTGAGGTTGATCTGGTTATACAAAGTTCTCCACCAAAGGTAAGTCTTTTTACTTAAATTTTATTTTGTTGTTTCTTTTGGGTACTGAAACAAATTGGAAGTTGTGTCATTTACCTTCATGTGATGAGTGAGAGCTCTGTCTGGAGTGCTAGGATGCTAAGGATGATTTTCAAACGAACCTGTCGTGAGGCCCCCCTCAGACCTGACGGTTGAGTAGAAATGCAGTGAGTGGCCGGAGGTTGGGAAGATATTTTCTGGTGAGAGAGGAGTCCTGGAAGCCTTCGTGGAGGTAGTGCAATTTTGAACTGTACTTTGAAGATGGGTAGGACTTAGATGGGATGAGATAGGATAGATAAACTCGTGAGCTCGAGGACAGAACGGAGAAAAGGCCTGAGGTTAACAGCCTCCGTGGTTAAAACTGCTTGGGTTTGTGGGTGGGAACCTCTCAGGGAGGGTCCTGGAGCACAGTTTATGGGGTGTGGATAGTGCTTCATGTAAACAAAAGTTGGTTTGAAGGAGCCTATTCCCATCACTTCAAGGGTGAAGATCCTACAACCTCCCCCCAAACTGGCAAATCCCTCAGGATTAAAGGTTGTTTACAATGATGGAGAAAAATACCTAATTAGTATGAAGCCACCAATTCTTATAAAGGAAATCCCATAGTGTGTGGCATAGATGCGGTGTAAATGACCCGGTAGGCCTGTGCTCTCCAGTCTGATAGCCACAGCCCAGTGGAGCTGTAGAACACTTGAAAGGCAGCTAGTCGGGGTTGGCCTGTGTACTCTAACTATAAAACACACATTGGAATTTTTTTTGGTTTTGAACTTTTTATTATGCACACTGGATTTTGTAGACTTATGATAAAAGAATGTAAAATATCTCATTGATAACTTGTTTTATATGGATAGCATATTGAAATGATAAAATTTTTGGATATATTGAGTTAATTAAAACTAACGTAACTTTTTCTTTTTAAACCTTCTTGTGTGGTTACTAGAAAATTGAAGATTGAAATTACGTATATGGATCTATTGACAGCACTATTTAGATGATGCTTTTTGGAGATTTGCCTGCAGAATAGGGTCCACTGTTCTAGAGGTTTTTAAATTCTTTAATTTTAGTAGTTCTTTAAATTGAACGGCTAGGGAACCTCCTCCCTCATACGCCCTGGGTATATCACCGTCACCCTTGCGTCTGCGTAGACTGCCCAGGTCTCTCTCTCCCTTTGCTGTCAAGTGTCACATGTTTTACTTCCATAGGATGTGGAGTCCTACATTCATCGTTCTGGGCGCACGGGTAGAGCTGGAAGGACGGGAATTTGCATCTGCTTTTATCAGCACAAAGAAGAGCATCAGTTAGCACAAGTGGAGCAAAAAGCGGTGAGACGATTTCCTGAGTCTTTATGCAGCCAGTGTTGGTTTCTTTATTCAATTTTTATTAACTTCAAATTATTTATTTCTAGCGTGTGGCCCTAACTGAAAGCTTGTTGTTAGACACGTGTTTTGGATGTTGTCCTATGATAGAAGGCCCATTTTGAAATAACTTTGCATTTAAAAGCAGTGGTTTTTTATATTTATAATTACATGGGGCATTCTTAGGTTTGAAAGGCAGTTTTCAGACAATGATGACATGACCACACCAGAAACATTTAAGCATAGATTAGGGAGTTACAGGACTTGCCTAAAAACTGAAAGGACATGAATATGTCAAAAGGATGAATTTAAAAATGGGAGAGAAGGGACTAGTTTTCCTTACAGAAAAACTCTGTAAGGAGATTCTTATGTAGGTGCTTCTCCTCCTCCAGGAGGTGGAGCTTAACCTCCCCTCTTCCCCTTTAGTGGACCGCACTTAGTCACTTGCTTGCAAAGAATAGAGTAGGGTCGGGGTGGGGGGCGGTGAGGACTTCACAGTGCGGAAAGTAGGCAACCACCACCTAGCCAGGTGATCGTGGTTAACATCAGCCATGAGCACGGGCTCCTGATACAATGTGACGAGACAGGCATTCCCTTCTGGTCTTCTTCCCCAAAACCCATAAGCCCAGTCTAAGCATGTGAAAAACATCAGACAGCCTCAAATTGAGGGACATTCTACAAAATACCTGACCAGCACTCCTTAAACTGTCACGGTCATGAAAAAGAAGGAAAGACAAACTGCCACAGATCAGAAGAGACTAAGAAGATGTGGTAACTAAATGCAATGTGGTGTGCTGGATTGATACTGGAACAAAAAAAGGATGTTAGTACAAAAACTTGTGAAATTCGAATGAACTCTGGAGTTGAGTTAATAGTAATGAAGCAATGTTGGTTTCTCAGTTGTGACAAATGCACTATGGTAATAACAATAGGGAATTCGGTGCACGGTATACAGGAACTCCCTGTGCTGTCTTTGCAACTTTTCTGTAATCTAAAGCCATTCCAAAATAAAAGGTTTATCTTTTAAATATGTAAAAAATACATTTGGTAAATATAAAAAAATCAGAGGACTACTAATCTTGATGGAAACAGTTGATGGCTACATTGCACATTAAAGTATGGTTCATTTTCTTGTAGGGAATTAAATTTAAACGAATAGGTGTTCCTTCTGCAACCGAGATAATAAAAGCTTCCAGCAAAGACGCCATCAGGTATGCTCTCCACCCTCGCTGTGGGCTGCTTCAGTGCTTGTCCTGTTTCCTGCATGCCTTTGTGAAGGAATGAGATTTGGCTTTTAAAATTTATTTTGTGGGGCCAGCCCCGTGGCCGAGTGAGTGGTTCAGTTCACACGCTTCGCTGCGGCAGCCCAGGGTTTCGCCAGTTCGGATCCTGGGTGCGGACATTGCACCACTCGTCAGGCCACACTGAGGTGGCATCCCACATGCCACAACCAGAAGGACCCACAACTAAAATATACAACTATGTACTAGGGTGATTTGGGGAGGGAAAAAAAAGCAGGGGAAAAAAAAGATTGGCAACAGTTGTTAGCTCAGGTGCCAATCTTTAAAAAAAATTGTTTTATTCATTATTTTTAACAGTTTATAACCTGCTTGTTATAAAAACATTCAGACTGTAGTGAAGTGAAATTTTACCAAGAACAAAGCCTCATTTTTACTTATCCCTGCCCAGTCAATCCTGTTCACCAGAGGAAACCACTGTCACTAGTTGGTTTGTCTTGGGCATTTTAAGGAACTGCATCTTAGATAGGGTGTAGGTGCTTCCCATCTGGAGGTTGAGTAGATGGGATCACACATGATATCCCAGATCTTCATTAATCCAGTCTGCCACCCGGTAGGAATGAGAGTTGATTATTTCTTGAAGTTATAGTAAATATCTAGATGGTGAGGATCATACTGGTGTTGGGGGCAAGAAAATTATTTATTGTGTGGGATTGTCCTACACATTGAATGATATTTAGCTGTTTAGCATCCCTGACTGTGCAGTATATTCCTGGGGGTGAGTGGGGTTGGCATTATGAGAATCAGAAAGGTCCTGGCTGTTTTCCACATGTCTCCTAGTGGTGAGCTACATCCCCTGCTTAAGAACCTGAGTCTCAGCATCATGTTTAAAGTGCTTTCCACAATGACTATTGTAAATACGTGAAGTGCTTATTTAAAAAACAGATGGGGTGGGGGTTCATGATCAAAAGATGCTGAATATTAGCTTGGGAAAGTTCTGCAAATGAAAATAATCTAAGTGTCCTGCAGGCAGGGTTTCCTGTGACACTAGTTAAGGAAATTTGGTGTTAGGTGGCCAGGAAGGAGAAAAGACAGATGCTGGTGGTGTATGAGAGACAGCCTCTAGAGGGGGCAGCCTTGCCCAAAGAAGCTGCCTCACATAGCCTTGTTCATCTTTGTCCTGGGTGATCTTTTCAGCTTTGGGATGTGACATTTATTATCACCAGGATAATAGTGACTCCCTAACAAATGTATAGTCTCATAAAGGTCTTTATCATTTTCAACCTGATTTGGGGGTGTTTTTCTTTTATTTCAGAATGGAAATAGCTGTAGTATTTGATACCCATACTTATTATTAAAAATATTCAACATTTATTAACGTCACTTTTTTTTTTTAAGAGTTCTTTTTATTTTTCCTTTTTCTCCCAAAGCCCCCCGCTACATAGTTGTGTATTTTTAGTTATGGGTCCTTCTAGTTGTGGCATGTGGGACACCGCCTCAGCATGGCCTGACAAGCAGTGCCATGTCCGCGCCCAGGATCCAAACCGGCAAAACCCTGGGCCGCCTAAGCAGAGTGCGTGAACTTAACCACTCGGCCATGGGGCCGGCCCCTAACATCACTTTTAATGCCAGTATGGTGTGTCATTCTATCTGTTTCGTGGTTTATTTAATCAGTCCATATTGATGGCACGTTTAAAAATTGTTTATATTTTTTCTATAACACTGTGGTGAATATCTTAATATTTGTCTTATTATCTCCTTAGGATAAAACATTTTTTTTTGGTTTGATGGTAAGTTAGGATTAGATACACTCAGAGGAATGGATTTATTACTATAGAAATGTGATTGTGTCCATTGCATCTAAATGATCTTTTACACATGGAAGACTTGGTTTGGAAGTGATTTATTTATCTTGAGAAGCTGTTGTCTTGAAAATGAAATCTGTCCACTTCTACTATCCTTTCTCCTAACGAATATACTCTCAAACTGTAGGCTTTTGGATTCTGTGCCTCCCACTGCTATTAGTCACTTCAAGCAGTCGGCTGAGAAGCTGATAGAGGAGAAGGGAGCCGTGGAAGCCCTGGCGGCAGCACTGGCCCATATTTCTGGTGCCACCTCAGTAGACCAGCGCTCCTTGATCAACTCGGATGCGGTAAGGGTCCCTGTTGAATTTCGGACACTACTTTGCAGTTTGAGCTGGATTCAAAAGTGTTCTGTTTAAACTTTCCAGTTGTTTTAACTGCATGAAGGTAGATATATATAAACAAATCTAGAGAGACAGAGTAGATTGGTGGTTGCCACTGTCTTGGTGGAGGCGGGGAATGGCAGTGACTGCTGATGGGCACAGGGATTCTTTTTAGGGTGATGAAATGTTCTGGAATTTTAGATAGTTGTAATGGATGCGAACTTTGTGAATATACTAAAAACTCTGAATTGTACACTTTAAAATGGTGAATTTTCTGGCATGTGAATTATATCTTGATTATTTTAAAATCCTAAAATATATATTTTAGGGTCCTATATATATAGTCATGTGCCACATAATACTCTATGATGTTCACACAATGATGAAATTGCCAAATGATTCATTTCTTAGAACATATCCCCGTTGTTAAGTGATGCATGACTATTTATATGCATATACACACAAATGTGTGTAGTACACTTAGACAGCGTACCTAGACACTTGAGCAGGTGTATGCTTTTCTTTTTTTTTTTAATATTTAATATAATTGTAGGTACTCATGTAGTTCTAAGAGATACTATAGAGAGATCCCTCATATACTTTGACCAGTTTCCCCCAGTGGTAACATTTTGCAAAACTATACTGTCACAACCAGGATATTGACATTGGTACAATCCACCAGTCTTACTCAGAGTTCCCCAGTTGACTTGTCCTAATTTGTGTGTTGGGCTGGGAGTGGTGTATGATTTTAGGAAGAGCTTTCCCCAAAATATTTTAGAAACATGACATCAGATTTTTATCAGTTAGGTTTGTTTTTGAGACTTTAATTTTGTGCCCCTTTCTTCGCTAGGGCTTTGTGACCATGATCTTGCGGTGCTCAATTGAAATGCATAACATTAGTTATGCTTGGAAGGAACTTAAAGAGCAGCTGGGAGAGGATATTGATTCCAAAGTGAAGGGAATGGTCTTTCTCAAAGGGAAGCAGGTAAGGAAGGCTGGGGCCTCTGTTGTGAGCTTGCATTGGTTCAGTAGCTTTATGTGGGCAACTAAACACTGCACAGGGGTGTCTCCCTGGTCTGTGGGGATGCTGCATCTTTGCACTGTATAGTCTTCGCTGGACATTGTCATCCATGCCCCTCAGTTGCCACATAGTCACTGACAACCACTCTCCTGAATCTCTAACCTGAAGCATCTGCACCCAGCACTGGACTGGAACACCCAGCTGCTTCGCTGACACCCCCACTCACATGGGGTTTATTAAGCCACTTAAAACAAACTTACTGGAAACTGAATTCAAATTTAAAGTCTTGCCTTCCAAACCTGGCGTTCTTTCTTCTGAGTTCTGTTCTCATTTAATGGCATAGATTAGCCTAGCAGTTCTCAAACCTTTTGGTCTCATGACCCCTTTACATTCGTAGCAAATGTTGAGGACAGTAAAAAGCTTTTGTTTATGTGGTTTATATCTATTAATGTTTACTGTATTAGAAATTAAAAGGAGCTCCAGAAAATAAGAATGTCATGTTCCATTAGCTGTCAGAGCAATGGTATCATCCCCTGTAATGCAGTGTCTGCGAGACTCCACTGCCCCCTTAGGAGAGAATGAGAGTGAAAGGACAGATAACATTTTAGTATTATTATGAAAATCATTTTGACTTTGTGGAACCCCTAAAAGGCATGGACTATACTTGGAGAACCACTGCCTAGAGGACCAAATCAGGTTTATCTTCAACTCATTGTGTGGCCCACCATGTTGTTTACCTCCTTAAGCAACTCCACATAATCTATGGGATAAAGTCTTTCCAATGGGGGATAAGATCCTTCATGAGCTGACTCCTGTCCCCCTTACCAACTTCATCTCTGTCTCCTAACTGCCACACCTTCCTCTCCAGCAACGCCAAGTACCCCTTGCTTTCTTATCCCAAGTGCACACTCAACTCGCTGTTTATATAGTGTTTCTTCCCTCTACGGTATCCGTTATGACTTGGCTTAGCCTTGAGTCTCCCTGTGGAGCTTTCCCTGGCCGTATGGCAGAGTTGGGGGCATCTTTATCTGTACATCAGAGTTCTTAGGCCATACCTTTATTCAGGTAAATTTTACCTTGCTGTGCTTGCTTATGGCTTAGAGCTTCAGGAACGCTATAACCTACTCAAGGGCAAAAACTGCTTTCTAGTTATCTCTATACACCAATGAGTGCCTGATTTGAATACTTAGTAAACATGTGAATGAAGATTCCCACAAATGGCAGAATCCATCAGTATCTGATGCTGCCTGTGGTTATAATTGGGTAACTTATTGGGTGGAAAGGGTGTTCCTCATAAAATGTTGCAGTTAAAGACAGCCCGGGGAGAGGCGTGCCTCTGTCACTTGCAGGGGTGGTTAGACTTTGTTTGTGGAGGCCAAGAAGCAGGAGGACTTCCTTAATTGGAGATGGTGCACTGCTTATCCTCAAAGATAGTGTCCAGTAAAGTATTTAATTTTTTAAAAAACTTTTTCATAGGAGGCTGAATTAAGAAAAACTGGAAAATTAACAATGGAAAATCATTTATTTTTCTGCTTTTACTTAGGTCATCCTGAATAGTTGACATTCTCTTTGATGGAAGGCAGTGTATTTTACTGGTTTTAGACCATAGGTTTTGGGGCCATGCAGACCAGATAGTTTAACATTCTGCCCTACTTCCCAGCTGTGGGGCCTTCGACAAGCCAGTCAGCCTCTCCAAGGCCCTGTTTCCTCGGCTGTGAGATGTAGCTAATACCTGCTTGAGGATTAGCACAGTGTTGTAGCCGAGAATGATCTCTAGTCAGTTCTAAGACGTTTTGAGTCCTTTTTTTAAATATCCTTGGCTTTTTGGTATTGTACTTTTGGGAGGTATAATGTGTTGGCCTCGGCCTAAAGTTCATCTAAAATTGATACCTCTGGGGTTTTTTTTCATAGTGCCTGGTCTTTTGGAGTATCTCTTAGTGTGCATTTTGTAATTCTAGTCCAAGGCGGGTTTAACTTGGGTTTGTTTTGCTTTCCAGGGTGTTTGCTTTGATGTCCCTACTGCGGCCGCAGCAGACGTGCAGGTATTCTTTCTCTTGGGTTTTGAAGTTAACATATCCAAATCGTAAAATGTTCATTATTGAAAATACAGAATATAGAGGGAAACAACAGCTCCCGTCCCTTTACTAAAAGACAAGAATTAAATTTTAGTATTTTTTATTCTGATATTTTCCTTGTTCAGCCTGCCTGTTTTCCCTTTCTACAGTTGTGAGCAATATCCAGCATTTTTCCCCAGTATGTTACACAGGGTTTACGTAGACACTTTTCATTGCTCTATCTTTGTTCAGTACTGCTGTGAGAAGTGTGTTTGGGCATGCTATATTTCTATGTTTACTACCTGGCGGCTGTGGATACCCCGTAATTGAATTGAATCAATGATGCAGTGATGAGGGTACTTCACATACCGAAACTTATTTCCACACACTTCAGTGACTGGCTTTTGGGTCATGAAGGTTAGTATTATTTTTGACAAGTGAGCTTTTAGGTGATTAGGTTATCAATCTGGCTTTTGTCTCATGCCTTTTTAAGCCAAATTCAGTAGAAATCAAAGCAGATAAAAACAAAACCATCTCTCATCAGGAAAAATGGCATGATTCACGGCGCTGGCAGCTCTCTGTGGCCACGGAGCAGCCAGAGCTGGAAGGACCACGGGAAGGCAGTCGAGGCTTCAGGGGACAGCGAGACGGCAGTCGAGGCTTCAGGGGACGGCGGGAAGGCAACAGAGGCTCCAGGGGACAGCGGGAAGGCAACAGAGGCTCCAGGGGACAGCGATCAGGAGGTGGCAACAAAAGTAACAGATTCCAAAACAAAGGCCAGAAGCGGAGTTTCAGTAAAGCATTTGGTCAGTAATTTGAAGTAGAGAACTTATCTGGCAAAAACAGAACTATGTTTGGCAACATTATTTTTCATACAAAGTGAAAAGCACATTGTGTTTCCTTGCTGACCACTTGCCCAGTCCCCTTCTCTTCCAGAGAGACAAGTTTCATCTAAATTATTTCATCTGATTATTACCATTTGTTACCTTATTGCTACTTCTGTATCAGGTTTTCCTTTTGAAAAGGTGTATGGATTCATTACATTTTTATTCTAATGTGTTGTCTGTACATTACGAGATAAAGTCAAGCGTGTGTTTGTCTAGACTTTTCAAGTTGACCTGACTGTGTACGTAAATGTCTGTTAATAGTGTCTTTCCCTAAATGCCTGTGGGGAGTGCCATAGTGTCTGGAGAGCACTTTGAGCAGTCAAGGCCGTCTTCTGTGTTTGGCATTCCTCAGCCACCTGCCTAGCAGTTACCCGTGTGGTCCCATAGCATGTCTTCTGAGAGTTAATACTGAACCAAGTTTTGAAGCAAGATTTCAGATTTAGCTGGGATGTAACACAGTTTATACCAGCATATGCTGCAGGTTTGGAGGATAGTGATACATTTGATAGGAGACATTGTAATGGTTAGCAATCATTATGTGCATTTTGATACATTTTTAGCTTCTCAATATTAAGATGATTCATCCGTCAGTGAATTCTTTACAGATTTTATATATCTATCAATATATATGTAAAGAAGTATTTTAATAGAAATCAAGTGTCTTCAAAGAATTCCAAATGTAGAAGATGGCCCCATAACTTTCTTCCTAAGTAAGGAGGCTGATAAATGGTGCTTGATGATAATGTACTCCACTTACTATTGGAAGATTAACATTATTTACCAAGAAGGAATTAAAGGAGTAGGGGCAGATTTGCATTGCTGAAGAGTCAAAAAACCATTGAAAATTTTTTTCACATGCAAGAAGGAAACATAGCTGTTGAGAGCAAAGAGAAGAACAAGTGAAGATACATGATAAAGTGCTTTTATTTTTTTTCTTTTTTGGTGAGGAAGATTGGCCCTGAGCTAACCTCTGTGCCAATCTGCCTCTATTTTCAATCTTCCTCTATTTTTTCATATGTGGGATGCTGCCACAGCATGGCTTGATGAGTGGTGTGTAGGTGTTAGTCCATGCCTAAGATCTGAACCCACGAACTGCAGGCCACTGAAGGGGAGTGTGCAAACTTAACCACTACACCACCACGCTGGCCCCAATAAAGCATTTTTTTAAATTGTGAAAACTTAATGGGTCATTAATGTTTCTAGAGGTTAACTGCTAATGGGCAAACTGGGGTTTTTAGGTAGAATGATCTAATTTAGTTTTTCAAAGGCCTAGTTCCTATAGCCACAGTATGGGATCTGTTTCTTTCTATTAGATTACTACTCCATTGAAAGGGTTTTTCTTTCTTGAGACTTCCTTTTAAGACAAACTCTATATGGCTATTTTAAATTGTTGCTCCGAGGGAACTGAAGAACTTAGTATAGCCCCTGGCCAGATAACTGTCAGTTCTCGAATATTACTTCTGGGAAACTTTCTGCATGGTGCAGGAGCTTAAGTGCGACGTTGTCCTTTCGCCTTAATTCCTAGAAATTCTGTACGGAGAATCCCAGGGAATAAACTGTGATGGGAGAAGTTAAAATACATGGCCGGTCTTGTTTTCATTATTTTAAACAACTGCAACCTTTCTAGGCCCTGGTTTCTCTCACTTAATCGGCTCTTTATCTGTCTCTTACTCAGCCACCTTGCAATGAGGGGCTCAGAGAGTCAACTAAACTCTGATTCTTGAGCGACGTCCTTTTTCTGTGTGGACTTCAGTCTGTCCTTGAATCCTAACTGGATGTCTCTCTGTTCTCAGCAGTTCTCTTGGCTTTTATTCCTTGATCCACTTGTTGATTTTCTCGCTTTTCCTCCTCCTCATGGTTTCCTGTCAAGCCGCAGGGACTGAGGGGAAGGCATTTGATGACAGACAACTCACGTGTCCTGTGGATTACAGTTTACTAGATTCTGGGTTTTTTTCAAATACTGAGCAGCAGTTTATTAATAACCAAAACATTTCACAGTTTGGATAGGAATGGGTACCTTATCAAGCAGATGAAAAGGACATGGTACCTGTCCTTTAGGAAGAAACAGCTAAAACCTTGATGTGGATTAGCATAAAGAAAAATAATAAGGCATGAGTAAGAGGGAAAACTAATGGGAATTTCACTTTACGTAACTTAATTTTAAGGAAAACATGGCTGTTTCAATAAGTGAAGCTAAAATTTCTCCTAAATCCCGGAATTCAAACCATATTTATAAATGTATAATGCAGCTACTGTTTGGTTTAAATAGGCTCGTTGGGCTAGCCTTGGAAATGTTATCATTTTTACTATTTTCTATGGAGAAAATATTTTCCACTTTCTGTGTCAAACAACTCAATGAACTTTTAAGATAGAACCCATTTTTATGTTGAACTATCTGTACAGCGGTTTCTTTACAGTTGTACATAAAATGTTTTTACTGTAAAATTGAGTTCATGTATAAAATACTGCTTTGCACCATAATAAAGATATTAGTACTTACCTATTTACATTTTTGTTATTTTTTTCCTAATATTGAAAATAGCTTGAAATTTTTATTGTAAAAAATAATAAATGATAGCTGTAAAAATCCAAACATAGGAGAAAAAACAAGCAAGTAATAATGTCGCAATTTCTATCATTTTTGTGAGCATCTCTTCCAGGAATGCATTTACAAAATTGGAATCATTCATTCAGGTTTTTTTCTTTGTTTGTTTGAGGAAGATTAGCCCTGAGCTAACTACTGCCAATCCACTGCCAATCCTCCTCTTTTTGCTGAGGTAGCCCGGCCCTGAGCTAACATCCATGCCCGTCTTCCTCTACTTTATATGTGGGACACCTACCACAGCATGGCTTGCCAAGCGGTGCCATGTCTGCACCCGGGATCCGAACCAGCAAACCCCAGGCCACCGAGAAGCGGAACATGGGAACCTAACCGCTGTGCCACCAGGCCAGCCCCGAGTCAGTTTTGTGTATTGCTTTTTCCCCCTCAACATGTTGTGCATGCTTTTCTGTAAATACAAATCTACAACTTTTTTTTTAAAGATTAGCACCTGAGCTAACTATTGCCAATCTTTTTTTTTTCTGCATTTTCTCCCCAAATCCTCCCACTACATAGTTGTATATTATTTAATTGTGGGTCCTTCTAGTTGTGGCATGTGGAATGCTGTGTCAATGTGGCCTGATGAGCAGTGCCATGTCCGCGCCCAGGATCCGAACCAGCGAAACCCTGGGCCGCCAAAGTGGAGCGTGCTAATTTAATCACTCGGCCACAGGGCCAGCCCCAAATCTACAACATTTTGATGACTGGTATCTCAGTAGGGATATGCCACCATATATTTAACCAGGACTCTAGATGGCTGTGTTGGTTATTTGTGATTTTTCACTATTATAAACAACCCTAAGATGAATGTCCTTGTATAAATTTTTGCTTGCTTGTCTGATTGTCACTTTAGGATAAATTTTCTAAAGGTAGAATTGCAGGGTCCACATAAACACGTTAAATTTTGGTGCAAGTTGCTCTCCTAAACAGGACCGGTTTACATTCCCACCCTACGGCACAGGCAAGCCTGTTTCCCACATCACCATAAAACTGGATTTGGCTTCCTTTTCTCAGTTTGTTAGGCACAAAATAATACTGTATCATTTTTATTTGCATCTTTTAATTGAGTGAGGATTAACATCTCAAATGTGTTGGGCATTTGCATTTTTTAAAAGTTACACTAAACATTTGTCTTTCTATTGGGGTCTGACTCTTGTTGATGAGAGCTCTAAGTTTATTAGTAATAAACATCCTGTAGCAAATACTTTTTCCAAATTTTCATTTGTCTTTTAACTGTGTGGGGTGTTTTAAGAAAGTTTATTTTTTTATGAGGTGGTAAGTATCAGTCTTTTATCATTTCTGGCTGTCTTATGTTTAGGAGAATATTCTCTACCTCCAAGGTTATAAAAATATTCACCCATATTTTCTTCTAGAACTCTTGATTATGTTTCAATCTTCAGTTCATCTGGGATTTAGTGTGAGGATCAAGAAGTGATCTACCTTTATGCTCCCCACCTCCCTCCCACGTGACTGCTACTAATTCCACACCATTCAGTGACTAATCCATCTTTTCCTCAAATTTTTAAATTTTTATTTTAAAATAATTGTAGACTTAGAAAAGTGTTGCAAAAATAGTAGAGAGTTCCTGCATACTCTCCACTCAGTTTCCACCAGTGTAGCAGTATGTCCTGGAGATGGCTCCATATCAGTTATAGAGATCTTAACTCATTTTTGTTTGTTTTACAATTGCATCATACTCCATTGTGTGGGTAGTTTATTCAACTGTTTTCTTATTTCCTATGTCTGGGCACATAGGTTGTTTCCAATATTTTGCACCTACAAGCTGCTGCAGTGAGGAACCTCGTGTGTATGTATTTTCATACTGTTGGAGGTGTATCTTCAGGGTAGATTCCTGGAAGTGGGATGGCTAGGTCAAAAGATAAATGCATATGTAGTTTTTTGTTATGTATTGGCAAATACCCCTCTGCAATGGGAATCTTTCCCTGCAATTTATTTTTTGAAGAATCCAGGCCATTTGTTCTGTAGACTATGCCACATTCTGAATTTCACTGCTGCATCTTCATCTGTCATTTAACAAGCTCTTTCCCCCACCCCAGACTTAATGTAAATTGGTAATTAGATCTAGAAGGGTACACAATGTCCAGTTGTCCCTCTGTCTTAATAGCAGCAAGAGATTTTCATTTTCTAAATCCATAATTTCATTAGGGTTCTTGGAAAATGGTGATATTCTATCATTTCTTTTTCATTCATGAGCTGGAATACCTCTAAAGAAGGAAACTTGCCCTAATCAACACTTGGGTTACCCTGAATGCTGTTCCTACACAAAGGACAGAATAAGTGCTTGATTCTTCCCCTTTATTTGTGTACCAGATTTCAGAATTATGACTGGTTCCTTGCTTCCTTCAAAGGTGGCCAATGAGTTTTTCATTGTTACCACTGATTCATTATAAATTTGTGGATTTTAACGTTTGATATACTTTAATCTATTGCATTTATTTTATTGATGCTCAAATTTTCCCATCTTTGGCCAGCAAAAGCCTGTTTTTAAGTTGACACCTTCTCAGTCCTTCTGACCTGACCCTCATCTTTGATAGTTTCGTTGATTTCTGGTGTGACAAGATATCCGGACTCATCCTGCCCCAGAACCAGAATCATTTTCTCCAAGGAACTCTGTTTCCTTATAATAGGTAATGCTATTTAGAGCCTACAATCTGGGAACCAAGGCTTATTTTATGTCCTACATTGTTAGTATTATTTTTGTCTGGCTCATTAAATAGTTTAAATTTGTGCTAGATTTTCATTGTTGTTGCTACTATGAAAGTGATCGTTTACTCTATTGCATCATTCCTTTAATAAAAAGTTGTTGATTTTGCATATTTGTGACTGACCTACTTACTGAACTTTTTAACTTTTTCCTGTGTTCAGCTGTTTTACTTTGCTTTTTCAGGAAAACAGTCACACCATCTGTAAATAATGATAATTTTCCCATCTCCTTCCCAATCATTATACCTCTTAATTTGTTTGTTTGTTTTTTTGTCCAATTGCTTTTTCTGGCACTTTCAGATCAATATTATATAGTAAAGATG